CCGCACCAGCTCGAAGCCGTCCTCATCGATGTCCGGGGCCCGGGTGGCCGAGGCCACGGTCGACACGAGCACCGGCGGCCGCCGGCCGGAGGGTCGGCCCTTCTGGCCGTGAGAGGGGCGGCTCCCAGGCGCGGACATGCTAGCGTGCGTGGGGGAGGGGGAGCAAGGGAGGGGGGGGGGGGGGGTGGGGGGGGGGGGGGGGGGGGGGGGGGGGGGCAGCGGGCTCGCGCGGCTACCGGAGGAGGAGATGTCTGCTGTCCGGAGATGCCCCCCTCGGGCAGCAGCCCCCGGCCGGTGCCCCTCAAGTGCGGGCGCGCCGCCGCCGCCGCCGCCCGGTGCCACCACACACGCACACACACACACGCACACACACACACACGCACACACACACGCACACACCACACCCACGAGAAAGCGATCTCCGGCGGGCCGCCGCGATCGGCGCCGCACGCGCGCGCCACGCTGTATACAATTAAGGACTTAACTCAGTGGCAATGGGAGCTATTTATGGGGGATACAAAACAAGGACAGGGGGGGGGGGGGGGCGGGGGCGACGCGCAAAGGGAGAGCGGCTGGGGCATTCCGCCCGCGCGAGCGAGCAGGCAGCCGGGCTTCCTCTCAGACACCCACCGGGCGGTAGACCACGGTGGTGGTGAACTTGCGCCGGCCCACGCGGCGGGTGGCCGCCAGGACCATGACCCCGTCGCGCAGCGACAGGGCACACAGGTGGTTCAGGTGCACGGCGTGCGGCGGCGGCAGGATCGACGAGTCCAGCGGGTCGACCAGGTCGGCGTTGAGGATGATCTGCCGGGGGACAGGTCGCAGGGGGGGGCAAGTGTCCTCACACAAACACCCCCGGAAGCGTCGGCAACAACGGGGAGAAAAAAAGAGGGAGAGACCGCGAGAGACCAACACCGGGACGGGCTCAGCTAGGGGGGAAAAAATAGACAGGCCGGGACAAACACATGGATGGGGGGGGGGAGGGGGAGGGGGAGCACACGGGCGCCCCATGTACCAAGCCCCGATCGGGCGCGCACCTTGCTCATGTGAGGGGGGAGGGTCGGCGGCTCGGGCGCCCCGCCCGGGCCCCCGGACGGGAAGTGCGTCAGCTGGCCGGGCTGCTTGGCGAAGTTGCTGAAGTCCGGGATCTCGCGCGTCCACACGAGCCCCGGGTCGTCGGTCCCCGTGAGGCCCTGCTCGTCGTTGGTGCAGGTGGTCTCGGTGCCGATCTCCAGGATGTTGACCGGCCCGGAAAAGTGCGCATCCCAGTGGACCCCGAGGTCCGGGTGGGCCACCTGGCGGCCATTCACCTCGAAGCGCAGCAGATGCCGGCCCGGCGGCAGGTGGAGGATCGCGTGGAAGTCCTCGTGGCTGCGGGCGGCGCCGCGCGCGGAGACATGCACGGGGCGGAGGGAGGGGAGGCGCACCGGCCAGGTGTAGCAAAAGGGCAGCAGAGTCAGCCAATGGCGAGAGGCCCGGGGCGCCGGCAACAGCGGCCAGCGAGGGGGGGGG